TGCTGTCTGGGACGACGATATAATGACCGTCATCGTCATCGACCTTGGTGTTCTTGGTGTACGAGGTCTGCCCTATATGTTAGACCAGATGACAATACAGGATCAGAGAAAACTTACGTCGTGTACGACTTTGACCTGGATATCAGGAGCCTTTATGGGCGGTCTTGGCGGCGGCTTGTAGTTTGTGTAGGCATCTCCATTTACCTCCAACTCTCTTCGCTTATTCTCATTTGCAGTTTGAAGTCTCGTGGTCGCCGTAACTCGTCTTCTCTTCTGTCCCGGTTGGACATCTGCAGTCTCATAGCCATTTTGACCATTTGAGGAATGTGATCCCAGGGAAGTAGCTGCCGTGGTGTGGATAGCGGAAGTCGTCCTATCAGTTGAGATTGTAGACCCTGACGCCGAGTCCTTGAAACCCGGGCTTTGGTGAATGGAGTTCGCGTGGCCATTGCCATATATTACGTCGTATGCCGTGCCAACGTCATCGCGTTTCCGCTTCTTTGCCGGCTGCCGACTGCTCTCTGCAGCTATGGAGCGGGCATGGAGAGAATCGGAGGCGAGAGATTCGGATGGCGGTGGGGAGTCGTCAATGACAATAACCTCGTTGGGGAGGCCCTTTTCATAAAATTTCTTCCAGTCAGGCTTTCTCGGCTCACGAGAGCGTTGTCTCCTCTTGACCTTCGGTTTGGTTGCGGCGGCGATGGAGGATGAGGAAGGCATGGCGTCTGGTTTACTGTTATTTCCTGAAGACGTGTGCGTCGCGTTTTGACTTGGGAGTAAGGGTTCGGGCGCAATGACGCTATTCGACGAGGTGTCGTTACTCGACGGAGTCGGAAAGCTGTAGGACCCTCCCAACCGGCTTCCGCCGTTCAAGAGCGTCGAGTTTGTCCTATAGCCTCCGTTGGATGGGTAGTTTTGGTGATGAGAGTATCCGTAGTTCGGGTGATGTGGAGGAAGCGTCGATGGAGTAGACATTGAGATTGTACAATCAGTCTAGGTTTCGGAGCCGGTGGTGGTGGTGGGCTCAGACGACAAGGAGCGGCAAAGTCGTCCTGGAACTCGCACGAAGCGTTTGTCTATGGTTGGCGGATCTTCAGCATTGGGTCTGCTGAAGATAGTGAATAGGGTGGGTCGAGATCGATCGAATTGCGAGGTGGTAGACGGCTGAGGTCTAAGGTCTTTTTTGTGTCGTCGGCGGTCGCGGTACGGGGGGGGTAATCGACGGGAGATTCACGAGTCGACTCGGGGGAGGGGGGATCTCGATTGGAATTCGGAGGTGGAAATACTGTCGGACAGCCGGTCAAGAGCACCACAACTCGTGCGTAGAGAGTATAGAATGGGTGATTACCAACAAGGCCGTGAGGGACTGTGGTGAGGCGGCTTTTTTGGAGATGTTGCGAAGTTGGGTTCCTTAACCCTTCGAGCACTGGCTCCACTCTCTAGAAGCGAGGCCGTTCTCCGTTCTCCGCGTTCAGGCAAGCGCGCCGACTCTTCCTCTCACTCTCACTCCCAACTCCTTTCACTCTCACTCACACGCATCACTCACACTCATCACTCACACTCACACACTCTTCCCACTTTCACTCTCTCCCACTCTTCTCACTCTCACTCTCACTCCCACTCCTCTCACTCCCACCTCTCATACTGTACTCAACTCTCTCACGCTCACTCCCACTCTCCTTCTCACTCCCACCTCCCATACTCACTCTCACCTCTCATACTCATACTCACCTCTCATACTCACCTCTCATACTCACCTCTCATACTCACTCTCACACTCACTCTCACACTCACACTCGGCTCTCATACTCACTCCCACTCTCACTCTCTCCCTCCCACAGTCAGGCTGAGGCTGCACACCTGGCGCCTGCAGAGCACCCGAGTGATGCTGCTGCTTCCGAGTTCCCTCGACGGCGCACAAGGCTCCACCAGAATCATCGACGTGAATCATCCCATACATGTACGTCTCAGTATCACTATCAATCTGCTTTGACGAAGATTTCGACATCTCGACATTTCGCCTGCAGTACTCGACCCACGCGCCCACCACAAGTCAGTCCATCGGACCCCATCCAGAGATCCCAATTGCCTCTCCGTCTCTCGGGCCAGCGCCCACTTCTCCCCCTCTCTCATCACGCAACTCTCACAGACATCCGCCTCAATCAGTCGAACTGGAGGTTCCGTGTTCTATTGATATCTTGATGGGGCCGACCGCCCAAAGCAGTGAGTGCTGCATGCTAGGTGGCATTTACTTCCTCTCGAGTCTCAACTCTCGAATAACCTAACCTTGTCAAGAGCTCAGCAGGACAGCAGCACCTGGTTTGAAAGCCGGCATTCCGTCCCCTAGTCGAACGTTCGTCCGTCTCGATTTATTGATGACATTTACCGGCGCTGCCAGCGGATTTAAAATTCACCTACTTCAGACAAGTTCAAGTCAACCGCCTTCCAAGGAATGTTTGCAAAGTAGCTTCTTATCCCGGATGTTTCATACAAGTATAAAAACAATTTCCGCCCCAGGTTCACTCTTCCTTACCATTGCCATTTCTGGCTTTCTTGAGAAGCAAGAAATTCTTGGCGCCATCTCGATATTCTGCCGATTGACCCCTCAGGGGCGAATAGACGAGGGGTGGCAATTTGATAAAGGATCGTCGCTACGCTTCGTACCGTACGCCTGATGGAAATGGAAACAACAACAAAACATCTTGACGATCGGACTTCTGACCAACCTAGGCTGCCATTTAAGATTGGCTTCAAAGATAAAGCTTGATCTAGAGCTGAGGGAGTTAACGCGTTTGATCATCCCGGAAGGTGATCGATCACCCCATCATCATACGAATTTGATTGGCTGTCGGGAGGGCGGTAACGTGATCTTCAATTCTGACCGAGCAGCCGCAGGTTCTTCTACACGCCAAGTTCTTCGGTAACAAAGGATGTCATGATGGTAGTAAAGCCATATGCTAGACTGCAACAAGTTCTTCTAGCTTGGTGACAGTAAACTGGTCCTTTATAATCCCGCGTATAAACAGTGTCAACACAGTAAATTAGCATGTATACCATGTCTTATGAGACAACTAGTGACTAAGACTTGGTCCAGTTTCAATCCCAACAAGGAAGCGGATCTGAATGCATGACTTATCATACCAGAGTTAGATACGGCAAGTTCACAAAACTGTTGGTTTTGTTGTTCTAGAACCAGACATCGCGGACTAGCGGTATCTCTTGATTCTATCTAGCCAGCTTTGAGTTCAGTCATTGCTGATACATCTCTAGAAGATCTGGTGTTGTCGCCCCTTGTACAGTATCATCTAGTCTCGAGTCCGTAAGTCACCTTGCGTGTATCTCTTTTGTGATTCCTTTGGTGGGTATATTGGCTGCGGGTTGCCTCTGCCTTATGCAGATTGTTTCAAAATTCCTCTTAGATGCCTCTGTTGAAAACCACCTTCCCGTTCTCACCACCCTTCCCCCAGAACTCCTCTTCAAGACTCGAAGCATCTACAGCTTGTCGTTGAGGAAATGCTGCAAGAGCAAGAGGTAGGGCGAACAGACTGGTACCAAGGATCAGACCGAGATTAACAGGAAGCGTGAGTCTTGGGCTTTTCTTGAGCCATTCTTGCTTTTGGAGGCGAACCAGGATCATGGGAGGGATGACCATGATGGGAGAGCTATTCAACACTCTACTCACAGCAGTCTCCGAAACCGCTAGAGTCGCCGCCTTTTTGCTTTTTCCTAAAGATTCAATTGCAGATTCTGACTTTCCCACTTTCGCAAGGTTTGCTTTGTCCGCTTCAGATAGAACTGGATACACGTCTATGCCTTTTCTGATCTCCTCGCCTCGCATCAAGAAAACGTTGAGCGCCCCCGCACTTGCCACGGCTGCGAATGGCACTAGTCTTGTAAGAATTATCTTAGTTGCTGGGCTAACGCGCTTCAGTCGAGGAACGAGAGCATTAAGACCTAGTGCAACGGAGCATGAAGCTCCAACGGCTAGGAAGTATGATTGTGCGATCTTGGACGTGGATAGTGGGGTCGATTTGTTCGCATTCGCATTGTTTATTGCCACATTCAGAGACTGATTCGTGATTTGCCAGAGAAGGGTTCCTGTCGTCTTAATAAATCAGTGAATGGTCTAAAGAGCCATTGGATGAAGAGAAGGACTTACTCCAAGACCAGGAGTCAACATTCCTGCTGTTACTACCAAGTTCGAGAGAACGAAACATGACATGCGAAATGGAAGTAAGACTGGTTCTCCCGTATCTGGTAACAATTAGCTTTGGGAATTCATTGGGTTCTGTCTGCAAGTCTACCTGGATGTAATGTCGAGTCAGCAATCTTCTTCGCGTTCCAAAGCTCTGGATTCATTTCTGCAATGGTCCCCTGCTTGTATCTAGCTATCAACGCCTTCGCATGCTCCAAGCCAGCCGAGTTCACGACGAGTGTTCTGATATACATTAGTCAAGCATATTCTCGCAGACAATGGCAATATAAAAGTGCGTGCGCCACCTTTTGCTTTTACAAACAGAACAATTCCTCCTCACCTCGGGTCTGAAATATTCGCAGAGTGTCGAACTCTGCCCCAGTAGGTACTGAGATCATATTGAGAGGCTGGCAGCTCGCGGCGCCCAGGTATTGAGCTGGACATTCTGGATGTTGTGAAATGGCGCGCTGATTCAGAGGAGTACAAGCCTAGGTACGGCGAGTCAATTGAAATTTTCCGTCTCAACCACCCATAGCAGATGTATTCCTGACTTCGAATACGATGAGCGGTGAATGTCTCGTCCAGATTTGCGGTTGAGAGCTTGAGAGCTTGAGGAAATACTCACGGACAAAATAAACTCCGATCTCGCTTGCTTCCCCCTCCATCAAAGCAGCAGCCCAGCCCAGCCCGTCCTATTGGACCTACCAACATCTCCAAAACTGTGTCCAAAAGCAGTACAACAAATTACATCACAAAAACCTGATTTGCTTTTGCAAAAGAAAAAGAAAGAGAAAGGCAAAAGAAACGACCCCGGGATGATTCGAACACCCAATCTTTGCAGTGATGCTGTAGTAACCGAAATGCAACGCCTTAACCATTAGGCCACGGGGCCTGTATTCACAGACATGATGACTAAAACTGTTGCAATTTGAGTCTATATACATCGCGTATAAAGGACTACTTGCTTTGATCAACTTACTCTACTGAGCTTTTCCAATTCAATGGGTGAATATCGGTTTAACTCTGTGGGACAACATTTAAGTGCAACCCCCCAATATCAGGCTAGAGCCACTTTCTTAAGTCTTGCTCTTTGCGTCACTTTTTGGGGACCAGGAACTACATGGACACAACAATTCACCACTATGTCAGGGTTTAAAGACATTGCCAAAGGCGGATGGCACCCCAAAGCCAAAGATGGAAAATCCAAAGAATCATGGCGAGGTGACAACAAGGGAATAAATACAGTTGCGGGGTGGATGGGAAAAGGGAAGAACCCAACTGCTGAAGGTCTCGACCATGTATCTCGACCTTTGACGACTTTGAAAGACCCTTCCGCGTTTGGACCTCCACCGAAGAACGTTAATTACCACGGAGGAGCCGCTCTCCCAAACCAAATTACGCCGGATACTCGAGGTTTGGGGGCTCCACTATCGCGAGATGAAATAGCTACGAAGCAACTAGCGGAGGAAGCGGAAAAACAAAGAGAGGAGGAGGAAGCAGCGAGACCTAAGCCACCTCCAGTCCCATACCGAAAAGATACGACCGGTCTTTCCACTGCTCATCTACCACCACCACCAGGACGAAAAGATGGAGCGGATGGGAGGGCTCCTCCAGAAGTATCCGAGGCGAAACCTCCCGGCCTCCCGCCTCGATTACCACCTCGACAGAACTCAAGCCCTATGAATTCCCCTCCTCCGTATAACAGTACAGCTACTCCCGAGCCAGAGTCACACAGGGTTTTTCTAAACCAAAACTCGCTGAATAACCTGAGTGCTGCCGGTGTATCGATTCCAGACATTGGTATTGGAGGATCTAAGGGCAGGCAACCTCTACCACCACCTATTTCACGGCCCTCAAACCAAGATGTGTTGCCATCACAACCAGAGATTCCCCCCACAAACAATAGCTCACAACTCAACGAACTCCAATCCCGGTTCTCCCGGTTGTCTACCAAATCACCCAGTCAGGAGGCACCAAGTGAAGGAACTACGTTTGCTCAGAAGCAAGCTGCGCTGAAAACAGCGAGTTCTTTCAGGAATGATCCGTCATCAGTATCCTTAAGTGATGCTAAGACAGCTACAAGTACAGCAAACAATTTTAGGGAACGCCATGGCGAGCAAGTCAGATCTAGTTGGCAATCGGCCAACAAGCTAAACACGAAATACGGAATTGCTGACAAGATTGGAGGCATGAAAACCACTGCATTGCTACCACCTTCCGTAAACACACCTCCTCCTGAGCTAGAGTATGCTAGCCAACCATCACATTTCAACGGGGGATCACAGACAGCACTTACAGCCAAAAAGAAACCACCACCACCTCCACCGATGAAGAAGCCCAAATTAGGGAGCTACACACCGGCAAATGGCCCTGGCGTGCCGCCTCCAATACCATTGTCTAGCAAACCCAAGCCTGCTGTAAGTGGTTACCATTGATAGGTCAGAATTGAGAATTGAGTCAAGTCCCTATATGCCTGTCATCAAAGAGAGCAGGTTAGATGTTCCGTGTCCATTTTCGTTCTCCAATTTTGTTCTAATATCGATTCAATTCTCTTTTCTGTTTAGCCTCTGCTACTAGAAAAAAATCCCATATCGTGGCAGGAAGTTTTCTGCACACCCGACAAAGCACTGCAGGGACGAGGATCACAATACCGTAGTACAGACCCTTAGAAATCACTTTTAGGGCCTTGATATGTTTCCGTAATATGAGAGTTGGCTCAATTACTTGTGTCGAGCGAGGCAATATCTCATACCGGGCAAGTTGAGATCCATAATTCCGTATAAACATCACATCGTCGTCCTACAGAATTGACTGTCTTGGTCTACACTAGAGAACTTGCATGAATCCGCTCAAGTTCGGACGAGAATGTAACCAAGGGGATTTCGGGAGTGTGTAGAGTATATGGCATAATCTCTATAAGTTTTGGAGATTGATAGGGTTTTAACGCTAGTTCTACTTTTAGCATTACTATCACTACGGGGTTTGAAAATATGTGGAGAAGCGTTTGTGAATCATGTCCATTCTCTGCAATGACTCCAGAGATTCTAGAGAACTCATCCATGATCCAAAAACACACACCACATCATTATAAGAAGCTCATTTTCCTCTAGCGAGATTCAAAGCTCCGTCTTTACATACTTTCCTTGGCTACTGTCGAGTATAACATAGTAGAAGATCTTGTAGCAATGCCTTCTCTAAGACAAATCTGGCAGCAATGCAATCGATTTGCAAATTCTATAAATTGTTTACAGCAACAAGCAGACGATGAGCGGCGAGCAAGGACTCAATTTCCATCGTCCTCCAGACATCATCGTCGTCGTCGTCGTCATCACAACATCATCCAACGCCCGCTAACTTCTCAGCCAACCTCTAGCACACACCGAACAACTCCTCCGCCTCCCCGCGACCTCGACCTTGATCTGCAATCGTTATGGTTTGCAAGTTCCCCGCCAGCGTTTCCTCCGCCGACTATCTCGCACTCGCGATTGACCCATGCTACAACGAGCGGATGGTCATCAAATGGCGTACGAAAAACACATACGTTCTCAGCAGTTGTACAGGATAATGGGACATTGGCGAGGACTAATATCCATTTGACCTGGGATGCCAGCAATCCTGGGTTGACAGTGAAAGCTCAGCAGAGACACACACCACCACCACCTGCACTGAGCCGATATGAGTTGGACGATTGCCGTCAGAGGTATGTTACTGTTCTACTGCGCGTTCCTTGCCCATTGCCACGTTTAGGTATACCACATAAAAGAGAGCAAACGACGTGATCATACTTCCAGTGATTGATGATAGCCTGGCTACGTTACACCACAATAGTATCTGCGAGGGGTTTGGTCACTAACCCAAGTCAGATACTCAGAAAGGGTGGCGAGTTGGTCAGAGTCAATGAAGGGTCGACAAGTCGGGGATGGAGAATGCTGGACGTTAGCGAACGAAGCACTCAAAGCCGTCGCATTAACCTGTCGATCTCGCAACGTAGAACCATGCATGAGCTCACAATCCTACATCCATGGCCATGTCATCTACAGCCTCATTCCTGCCACCACACCAGACCACAATCCCAGCCGCAGCGCCCAAGAAGCTGGCGTCGCACGCGGCGACGTCCTCCAGATCCTCGCCGCGGTCTTCAAATCCAAGGACGGTCTGCGAACATCGTGGGCAGGTGATCCGGACCATACGGCGGTGGTTACTGGCATCGCTCATGACGGGAAGCTGAGTGTGGTGGAGTCGAACGTTGGGGGTGTGAAGAAAGTCCAGGTTGGATCGTATGATCTGTCTGAGATGACGAAGGGGGAAGTGAGGATTTTCAGAGCTGTGGGCGAGAGTTGGGCGGGGCCTATGGATCCTAACTGGTGATGTTCTTTCGGTGTACTGTACATGAGCTCAGTATATAACTTGTCAGTACAGATTTACCATATGAAGGTTGTTTTCTCTCCGGATCCTCGATATATTTTCCCCGGTTTTCTATCAGCAGGCGGACTTTCACAGTAACGATGTTAGCGTTACCTTCATGTTGCCAGTCCTGTTGAACCCACAGATTTCTCCGGTCGAAGTAGAGCGCCTGGCTTATGCTAAGAAGAGATGAAATGATCATTTGCCTTTGCCTACACCCCGCGAGAAAATGCTGCTCATGTCGAGACAAAACGATTTCCTCCGTACCGTACCAACTACCTCGATTCTCATTGGTCAGCTACTGCTATCGTCACCTACTGCGATCCTTTCGATCATGTACCAATCGCCACTTCGAGCATTCAAACTCCCATCACCCAGGATGAGTACTTTTAGCGATAACCGCAGAATCTAGCGAATTTCCGTCTACCTAACTCAACCATCCTTCTATCCTCCCCCGGCGCTATCTCTGCATCGATAATTCCTGAGACAGATCCTCGTTTACCCTCGCTTCGTCGCTTTCTCGCTTACGAGTTACGACCCCTGGCTCGCGTAACACTAGCCAGCCATCTTATACGATGCGCAACTAAACTCTCCCCATCACCCTACGTGGACCGCTAGCCTCGGCCCCCTTGACATCGCTTGGGGGATATCTTGCTTGGTCCTGTTGGCTCGCGTAATTAATGCGAGTAATGGTTTGGCCTAGTTGGGCTCTACTTTAGCGAAGCGCCGCCCCCTGACTCACCTCGAGCAATCCTGCTTCTAGCTATTAGCTCGCGTAAATCTAGTAATCTTTTCCGCTGGGCAGCAGAATTAGGATTACTGCCTGTTGAGTATTTGCTTTATGGAGAACGGCCCTTGAGTCGTATATCGAGCATCTGAGGTTTGGAACTAGCTCGAGGGGTACCACGCTTTAGATATATTTATGTTGGCTTGAGAGATACTAGCTGATAGTATGGTGTGAATAATCATGCGTGAGAGCTTCTAATAAATTATTGTGTGAGTACATTAATACCAACGCCCTTAAAAAAATCATCAATCACCGAGAAACTCCGATAGGGCCAAATCGTGGTTTGCTTTGCTATTAGAGCTTATTGAGTTTATAAGTAACGCGTCCCTATAATTTCGGGACACTCCCTCTTGCCATGGTATCGCCCTGGTGGTGTATTGCCAGTGGAGTGTTCGGTTTTAACTTAGGTTATATGTTCAACGGTAGAGAAATGTTAAGATGTAAGCTTGGTGCGAATCGCAACGAGTAAATAGACTACAAGGGACTTAACCATTTTTCATACAACTGACATGCTAACCAACATCTCAACCAAGGAAGCGGAGCGGTGATATTTATCTATTGCTCGCCTTAAATCTTCCTTATTCATACCTATATTAGCTCACACCAAGGACAGAACGTCGAACTGACACAGAAGACAGCGTCCCCGTTCACATCGAGGTATCCACCCCAAGTCGCCGATGCCTCATTATGTGGAAGGCAAC